TGGATGAGCATTGTTGCCACTTTCTTCTTCATAGAGGGCAATTCCAAAACTGTTAGAAAAGTTTTAGTAGAAGTAGTCAAGGTCTGCTGTATCCAGCTCTTAGTTGGTTAATGTAGACATTTTTGGGATATGGATGGGTAAATAGGTAATATAATAATAACTTGAAAAATTTTTCTAAGTTAAAATTGTGATCAAAGAATTAATTTGCAAGAATAGTGATTAGAAACAGAGGTTGTATAATTGAGAAGTCACAGGAATAGCACAGAGTGTAACTAGAATGGTTTGGGTCACTGATATGACTCGGGTACTGTATACAAATAAGATTTGCATTACAAACTGTTATGTATAATTAGTAAGAACCAAATATAGAAATAATTGATTTGTGTGAATGGATTTCTATTTATAGATAGGTTACAAAAAATTTGTGTGTAAATTAATAAAATATGAATTAGAAAATGATAGTATGGTTATATGAAAAACGTTTAAGAAAGAAAAGGGCAGGTAGGAACAAAAATAAAAGAAAGAAAAAGTTTTACAAGAAAGTAAAAGAGAAATTTTGTTGTAATTCAGCCAATATTAGGTCAAAATTCTTCGTTTAGAGCTTGTTTTGATCAAGCAAATGTGTATTACAACTTTAATTAAGAGTAAAAGATATATTATTACAGTAGAAATTGTGAAAAAAATTAATTGTTAAAACTGGGGCCAAAGGTCGTTAATACAGTTTTCTCAATAAGTTTAAAAACTAAAAGTATGATATTTGCAAAATATTTATAAAATTTAGAGCTAAACAAGTTTATTTAAGACACCAGGACAGGTTGTCTTAGTAAATTAAATAGTTATAAGCATTTTTTGAGGAACAAATTTTTTAGTTAATTTTTGTGCAATGGATTTGCAGAAAGAGTTTTGTTTTTTTTTTATTTTCTTTTTTGCAATATTTTACAGTTTTTAATATATTGGAGTCTTTCAAAACTGAAAAGTTAAAAGAGAAGATCTTCAAATATATAAATATAAGATATTGTTATAAAAGAAAGACTAGCAGCAAATTTTCAGTTTTCTAAATTTATTTTAGTTTTTGATAAAGTTAACTTTTGACTTTTATAAACAGTAATGGCCTGTATAAGAAAAACAGAAATCTGGATCTATAAACAAGATAGTTTGCTTTTGCTTTTTTAAGTATACTAAATTAATACAATAAAACAATTTTAGTATTATTTAAAGTAGTAATAATAGGACCTTTATAATTTTTAAATTCAATAAAAACTGCTGTTAGCAGATAAAATAGTTTATTATCTTCAAATAGAATATCTTTTGCTGTTTCTATTGTGCTATTAACTAATTTACATTCTGTTTACAAATTCACTATCAACATAATATATGCATCTTTGGCCAATAATAACTGTATCTCAAGACCTTTAGTCATATTAGAATTAGTAATTTTTGCTTTATAATTACCAGAAAAATATGTTGTAAGAACTTTTACAACAGGTCAATTTAAGAACTTAAGATTATCTATATTGATTATATTGATATTAGACCATTTTAGCAATACAACTAAGGCTTTAAAGAATTGCTTCTGTTCTGTACTTAATAGTTTTTTTCAAGTCTTTAGTATGTATTATTTAATCTGCTAAAGTGAATTCTCTATTACATAACTATAAAAAAATGTTTTTAAAATTTTGTTGCTATTTGGAATCTCAAATTGATGTGAATTATATCAAGTTTGTATACCTCTTGAAATCGTTTATAGATAGCAATATTATCATTAAACAATGTGTAATAATACTATAATTTCTTTATAATTTTTCTTTTTCATTATTTTTCTAAGTCTTTTCTTAATTACATGCTAATTAATATAATTAATTTAACTATATTTAGTTTATTACTTTATTAATTATAACTAGAATTAATTTAGAAATATAATATAAATAGATAAATATCCTTATAACTTATTTACTTTACCTTATAGTGCAATTTTGCTTATTAATAATATGATTAACATGTATACGTATTAATAATTAACTTTGAAATGTAATAATTTATATAAATTTTCTATTTTTATCTTTATTTATTATTAATTATATGTTAGAATCTTTTGGATAGATTAGTAAGTATTATGAGTAAATTAAGCTTCTATTTTTAATGTACTTTTATTCTTAAATTTATGAACTTTTAAAAATTATTTAAATCTGATAAGATTTCTTTAATAAAATTTTAAGTATATTTTTGAAAAATTATATACTAAGTTCTTTGAATAATAAAACCTTTACAACTTGATAGTAGTAAAAAGCTTTTTATTACATTATATATACTTTATTTTTACACAACACTATCTTTTTATTTAGTTTTATATTTGTTTTATTTATATTTTATTAGCTTCTTTTTCATAATTTTTTTAAACAAAATAACTACTTTATAAAATTTAATAAATATTATTGAACAACTTGTTACTATACAAACTACTTTAACACAACAACTTAGTCAAATTCAACAACTTTAAATACAACAACAAGGTGGAAATAACTCTGTATCTACAAAAATTGGTGTAAAAATTTCTATATTCAAAGAAGAACCTACTGAAAATGTAGTAACTTAGTTATTACAAATACAACTAATTTTTTTGGCTCAAGGACTTATAAATGAACCAACTCAAGTTCACTATGCTACTACAGGTCTTAAAAATGCTTCAAATCTTAGTTATATTATCCCTTTTGTCTAAAGAGTTTTTGGATATATAACTTAGAGATATAACTGAGACAATATTTAATAAATATAGGATATTTATTCTGCTAAATTGTGAAGATATAACTTAGGTTGAGATACAACTTAGTGGAGATATAACTGAGATTTGACTGTATTAAGTAAATAAATTTCATTTGCTGATTTATTATAAAGTTGGATTTTGGGAACATTTAATGCCATTTTGAGAGTTATAACTTGAAAATTCAAATATTCTAAATATAAATAAGCCAAAGAAATTTTGGCACATTAAAGAAAATGTTGATTCCATCACAATGACAGATAGAGCTTTGCATTTTATGAACTTGATAGTTTGATTGAACAATAATTATACTAAATGGACAAGTGAGGTAAAAAAATTCAATATCACGACTATATTATGCATCAGTTTTAAATTCTGTCAATTATTAATCATTATTGCTATTTTTCAATCCCTACTGATTGATGAAATGATTCAGGTTAACTTCTTACATTGATGGTAATGATATTATTGTCTGAAGCATAGTGAGGACCTAACTGTTTAAGAAAACTTGACTGCATGTTGCTGCAATGTTAGTCTGAAACTGCCAATAAAAATGGAGGATTCTAGGTTCCCGTGATGATTTACAGTCAGTGTAACAAAACTCAATCTCTATGTTACATATATATGTAAAAATATTATAAATGAGTGACGCTAAAAGAAAGCCTGACAATTTAAATATGATTTATATTTAAATTTTCAGGATTTCTTTTAGAGACCCTCAAATACGACTACACAATTGATATGTATGTACATATGTACGTATTAGTGTGGATGGTTCAATTAAAAAAGAATAAAATTATTGAAAGTGGCCAATATATTTTAGCCAAATAAAAAAAATTATTAAATTCTTATCTTCTTGTGCTTCAAGTTACAAACTAAGCTCCTATTTTTTTTTTTTGACGCTTCAATTTACAAATTAATTTACTTTCTTTTTGTGCTTTAAGTTAAATAAATGTTTAACCAGTAACTAAATGCAAAATAAGAGCAAAAAAATTGTTCATTACATATTTTTATTGTTATTAATTTCAAAGCTTGGACTAAATAAATTTAAATACATTATAATTTCCTTATAAGCACCTATTTAATAAATCATATTTATAAGCATGAGTTTTGAATCAACTGCAAAAGTATTAAATATACAATAAAATAATTCTCTATATAAAGCTCATTATAAGCACAATTTCTATATAATAGCACTTTTTATAGGTCTTATTGTGTTATAAATACATTGCTTTAACTAATCGCATACCAAATTCCAATATGTTTACTAGAGTTTACTCACAATAATACATTACAAAAAGTTTCGTGTATAATATAATTTAGTACATGATTAAAATGATACATTTGACAAAACCTTGACAACTTGCGAACTCCGACATTAATGCTATTTATAAGAAATTAAAGAATGTACTTATTTGGTTATGTTATATAATATATTATACGTAACTATGAGAATAAATCGTTCGTCCAAATAAAGATAAAGTTTTTGAGATATTAGTTTGTTCATAGTTTTGAGCATGAATGAACCCAAAATATAAATTTTAAGAAACAAATTTAGGTAAAAATTGCTATATTGCTCAGTAACCCGAGTAAGAATTTTCCCACAAAGTACAATATCTAACTAATCACATAAATAGTGGTTACTTAAAGTAATTTGTATTATATGCAAACTTCATCTTTTTAAGGTCCAATAAAAGTTAGCTCATAAATTCAGTATAAATTTAAAAATGAGTAATCAATCGCTAAAACGTAAGGGCAAAGAAAATGAAACTTCAGATGAATCTTCCTTATATAGTGAATGTAATAGACTAACACATCAAGAAAGAAAAAAACTTGAAACTGCTGAAAAGCACAGTGAAGGTTTGGCAAAAGCCCGTGAACATATGCGAAAAAAAAGAAGATGCATTTTAGAACCTACTGAACAAGAAAACAATGACATTATAATAGAATCTGAAATACTTCCTAAAAACACATTATATGTTCAACAGCTCTCCGATTTCGATATTAAGCTTCTAAAAAAATTTCGTACTGAGATGAATAACTGTGCACATCACTTTTGTCCTACTTGTAAAGAACGCTTCCCATCAATAACACTCGTTATAGGTGAATGTCGATGTTGCTATAGTGAAAAAGATGAAATTAAGAAATTTTCTGTGAAAATAACATGGATCCAGGTGATGTGCCAGAAGAGCTAAAGTGTCTTACTGAAATTGAAGAAATGTTAATAGCTCAAATTTTTCCTGTTGTGTCTGTGTATTACCTACGTAGTGGACAATATGCATATCGTGGGAATGTAATTAATTTTCCTCAGGATGTACAGGAATTTGTAACACGACTTCTTCGACATCCCTCTTCATTAGAGATACTAATTGTATGCCGCCAGTCTTCAAGAGACCAGCATTCATTCAAAGATTTCAATGTTTGCCGGGCCAAGATTGAACAGGCACTTTACTGGCTAAAGTCAAACAATCGCTACTATACAAATATTGAAATTGATTATAATGTGTTATAATCTTTACCCGACGATGGCTCTGTCTACAATCAACTTCTGCAACTCCAAAAAGATGTTGATAATTTACAGAATGAAGATATTGAATTTCTGGATGTTGACGATGATCATATAAATAATAACACTGAAGATATTATTATGCGTAATTTCGTGCCTACCCCTGCCCCATCTTACAATGAAGAATATGCTATTAATAATACTCTTTGTCAGATGCAAACTGAACATGATCCAATTTTGTGGCCAACAATAAAAGGGAACCCTGTAAACGAATTCAATACCCCAAGATATATTGCTTGCACTTTTCCAACCCTTTATCCAACAGGAGATGCCGACCTTCGTGCAGAACATGCTAAAGATATCAAACCAGCTGAATATTTCAAGCATCTACTTAAGTACAAAGATGGAAGGTTTGGGCGTTACACCCGATGGAGATATTTTGCACTAAATTCACAAATGAGATGGAAAGCATTACAAAAAGGAAGAATTTATATAAAGCAGAGTCAAAATAGTATGCAACTTACTGTTGAAGAAGTACAAGAATTAGCTAATAGTGATAATCATCTTGCTGACAAAATAATATGTTTTGGTGAAGACCTGCGTGGAACATGACAATTCTGGAAAAGATGACATTTGAAATTGTCAGATATGATTAAGCAATTAAAAACACAAGGAATGATATTCTTTACCTTTAGCACTGCTGACTTACACTGACCAGAATTGCATAAGCTCATGCCACATGGTGAAAATCCAGTAGATGGTGAATCTGAGGAGGAAGCATGTAAACATCGATGCCAAGATTTAATAGATAATCCTCTCATTGCTGCTTGGTTTTTTGAAAAGAGATTTAAAGTATTCTTGGAAAAGGTATTAATCCCTAAGTGGAAATTGGAGGATTGGTGGTATAGATTCGAATGGCAGCACTGTGGCAGCGTTCACATTTATGGTATTGGAAAACTAAAGGATCCACCTGTATTTGAATGGGAAAAAGTGAAAAATAATGAAGAGGAATTAAATACAATTATTCAATATCTTAATTCATTAGTTACAACGATTAATCCAGAACTCAACGCAGCTGTACCTGATCAGCATCCTTGCCAAAAAAGCAGCGAAGAGTTATGTGATGATATACATGATTATGTTGAGCTAATTAACAAGCTACAGCGTCATACACGTTGTAGTTCTTCTTATTGTCTTCGTGTAAATAAGGATGGGCAACAGCAATGTAGATTTGGCTATCCTAAAGATAATATAGATCATACATTAATCTGTGATAACAATGGTCATCCAGAACTCCTCACAGCCCGAAATAACCCTTATATCAATTCTCATAATCAGCTTCAACTTCAAGGTTGGCATGCAAATGTTGACTTGAAACCTATTTTAAATATTCATGCTGCTCTACAATATGTTGCTAAATATGCAAGTAAATCAGAACCATGTTCTGCAACCTTCTTAGAGATATTAAATAGCATTCTTCATAATAGTAACTCTTCAGATTCCTCTCTTAGTGCTTTTCAGCGATTATTGCTCTATACAGTTGCAGAACGTGACATATCTGCACAGGAAACATGTCATCTACTTCTTGGAATTCCACTTTATCATTCTAGTCGTCGCTTTGTTACATTAAATCTTAACAAGGAATCACTACGATGGCTTTGTGGTACTGGAAATGAGAATTTCGGTACAACAAGCCAAGTTGGACAAACTGATCAATCTCCCTTACAAAGATATTGAAACAGATCAGTTGAGCTTGAGGATCTCACACTATTTCAACTGTACATGGGGTATAGATTTTGTAAAGGTAATTGGAAGAAATGTGATTGTGAAAACATTGTGCGCATTTGGCCAAGACCATCTCCTCAGCAAAATGGCCCCCAATAGGAAGAGTTCTGCCATATAAAGGTTTTACTTCATGTTGGTCACAGGAGTATTAGACAGCTAACCTAAAACAATAGTATTTCATGGTCAGAACTTTTTAATCGACATATTGCGAATATTGAAGACGAACTTATTGACTTGCTTGGTCCATCTGTTAAGAAGTTGGAAAAATTTGTCAATGATGATGAGAATGAACAACTAGAAGCAGAAGAAAAAGAAATTCATGAGAACTGGATGATTTTAGCAGAAATGGGCCCGAATGCAATTGTAGATAATTCTTCTGATCTTGGCTTAAGAAATATTGACCGGAATTATAACTGGACTAAAGATGTAAAGCAACATTATCCAAATCTTAATCTTGCCGATGTGGACACATTTGTGTGGCAAGCTTGTAATGAAGCTAATAGTACTAAAACTTTAGATGCCAATACCATAGATTACCAAACCTTAAATGAAATTCAAATGAAGATATTTAAGCGATTTGAGTTCCATTATAATAGCATTATTATAGATAGTAATACTATACCCTTAAGAGTCATAATTATGGGAACAGCAGGGACAGGTAAGTCATACTTGATTAATGCAATTCAGCAAAGACTTCAAGAGATAGCAAAGAGAAATAGAATAGATAGCTCCCCTGTAATCGTGCTTGCACCAACTGGAGTTGCAGCATTCAATATTCATGGAACAACTATCCATTCAGCACTTTCTCTTCCAGTAAATTGCAATAATTTTGATATAAATGGTGAATGTTTAAAGCAGCTACAAAAAAAATTAAATGGTGTGAAATATATAATAATCGATGAGAAAAGTATGGTTAGACACCGCATGCTTACATTAATTGACATGCGGTTACGTCAAGCCTTTCCTGAAAATCAGAATCAACCATTTGGTAGTCAATTGGTCATATTAGTTGGTGATTTTGGTCAGCTCCCACCAGTGCTTGATAAACCTATGTATGCACAAGACCATTGCCATGACCTATTGTCAAACGATGGTATTGCATCATATAGGCAGTTTCAGGAGGTTTACCAACTTGACATTGTTCAATGTCAGGCTGGTGATTCAGAGGAACAGTGCCGCTTTAGAAACATTTTACTACAGTTGCGTGATGGTGACTCTACTATTGAGGATTGGAATATGCTTAGCATACACTTTAAAGGTTCACCAAGTGTATTGCCAATGGATATTGAACAGTTTTCTAATATTACTTGTATTCTGCCTCTAAAGAGTGAAGTTAATGAAATTAATATTAACAAGTTAAGATTATTAAATAATCCCATCACCAGGATACATGCTGTTCATACTGGTGGTATTGAAGCATTCAAGGCTGATTTGGATGTTGCAAAAGGTCTTAAATCACAAATTTTATTAGCTAGAGGTGCTCGTGTTATGCTTAGAGCAAACTTGTGTGTAGAATTAGGGTTAGTCAACGGTGCAATAGGAACAGTTCACAATATACTGTTTGAAAAAGATCAGGGCCTGCCTTCACTTCCTGTTGCAGTTTTTGTAGAATTTGATGATTACAATGGTTCTGCATTTGTATCCACAGCAGGTAAACGAACTGTGCCAATTTCACCTATCTGACACTCTTGGGACACAAATACAGGAACATGCTCACGTTTACAGATTCCCCTCAACCTTGCCTGGGCTATCACAGTACATAAGGGCCAAGGACTTACTCTGGCAAATGCTATGATTAATCTTGGAAAAAAAGAATTTGCCTCTGGTCTTTCCTTTGTGGCTATATCTCGAGTCTATACTCTAAATAATATTCTTTTTGATCCTTTTTCATTTGAAAGGCTTCAAAGAATTAAACAATGTAAGAGAATACAAGAGCGAAAAGATGAAGAAAGACGATTAATCTCTATGATAACTTAAGCGAACACAATAATTAATAAGGTTTTATGTTTATACATCAATTCTGATATTTTAAGTCTAATAATGAATGTTGCTAAATTGAAACTTATGAGTGAATATCCAAGTTTTTACTCTGGCTATCTGATTATAGGTGTGATTGAATTATGTAATATTATAATAATAATTATAGTGTAATTTATAAGTCAGTGAACACTGAAATATTCACTTACAAGTTTTAATTTGACAACACTCTTATAAATATGTCCCTTTCTTATCGAAAGTTTAGTTGGGTTAATACTGGGCTATAAATTCGTTGTGCATATATTGTTTTTTGCATGAAATTACAATATATGTACAAAAAAAATTTTAACTGAGTGCACAATTGCACAATCGATTGTGCAAATTCAATAAATCATATGCCGCACATTTTCGATTATTCAATGAAGTAATAATTTGATCTATATTGTGCACATTGTATTTTTTTATAAAAAAAAATTTTTGCACTGTATAACTGTGCCGAATTTTTAGCCCTGGTCGATACTACTAATCGTTTTTTTACAGTATAAAGTAGCGTTCAGAGTTGGGATAAATTAATTGACAATTTAACTTACATTGTAAGTTACATCATAAGTTATATAGCTTAATGTAAGTTCAAATATATAATGTTAATGTAGGTCAACTTTGAGATTAAATTGGTTTGCATTAGGAATACTAAATTCAGTAATTAAATATATAAGTTACATAAGTTATATCAATTAAAATTTAACTTACTGACAGTTTAAATAATTTACGTAAGTTACCCAACCCTAATAACATCTAAGCCACTTGTGATTTACATTAAAGATACTAATAGTACAAATTTGAGAATTCTTTACTATATAGCATCGGTATTGTAGTTTTTTGAAAAGTACTCTATACAGTCTAAATATAATAATCAGTTAAAATTGAATTGTATTAGTCGACCAGAGGAAACTTTTTCTATATGCCATTTGATTGCCAATAAATACTTATAGTTCATATGTATTTATGATAATTTTAACTTATTTCGATTCTATTCAAAGTTTGGAATTTATTAATGATCTAATTTGCTAATGAACTAATTAATATTTAAAATTTGAGTTTTAATAAAATTAGAATAAATATTTTTACTAATACAATTTTGCTTCAGACTCATATCTGATTCTGATTTCCTAGTTTTATCATCATGTAGTTTTTTATAATATTTATGGATTCACAAACTAAAACTTTCTGACTGAAAAGTCTTTAATTGAATACTTGAATAATTAAAAAAAAATATTGTAAAGAGTTTTGATGACAGAAACTATTAAGAAAGTTTATTACAAGGGTCTAAGTATTTTAAAAATCTGGATGTTCATTGCACATAAATATCAAGATGCATTAAATGACAAGTTTATACACAGTTAACTTTCTCTAAGTACAGTCCTCTAAATAGAATTTTTCTCTAAATGTAAGATTTTATTGTGCTTCAGCAACTTGTACTTTGAGCATAAATAACAAAACTGACTAAAAGTGTAAAAATTAGTAGACTGACAAAGATAACATACTAACAAAAATGAAAATAATTATAATTTCTAATGTTTTATCCGGATATAATAATTATGGATATGTAGAAGGGCACAGAAAAACATCACATTGGCATGGGGAGTGATACTAAAACATCACGTGAAAATAAATAATAACATATCACATGTTATTATTTATTTTCACGTGATATTTTAAATCACACTCCGTGCCCGCACATGCTATATTGTTTCACAATACTACTGTGCTGTTACATTGTGTAATGCGTTATGCCATGAATAGGGTAAAAAGTGTTGGCCAGACTAAGTTAATTTGCGATTTGAATTATTTACTTCTCTCAAAAGAAAAATATATTTCATATATGATAAAATTTAAACTTTTTTATCAAGATTTTCAAAAGTCTGTAATTACAATATTTTCTAAAATGTCTTACAGCTATATATCCATATTTCTAAATGTTTTTATAACTACTTAATGCAAAGTATAAAATCAAGTTGGTCCGACTTAAAAACTTCTAATTTTTTTTTTCTTGACTTTGGCAGTCTTGCTGATTGCTCTTTATTAAGACATCATGTTTTTTATACAAACATTTTTAAACTTAATATATTGAGTTGACATCCCGCAGTTACTTCTATGAGCACTTATAAGCGATCTGCCTACACCAGTTGCCTAATTTTCTAAGAAAAAAAGGGGATCTGGGGGCACATACGACCACCGCCTTACAATAAGATATTACCAATCTGATAACATCTTCTCATAAAGAAGTGAAAGAAAACAAAAAAAACTTATTATATAACAAAAAAAGAAAAAAACACAGAGGTATAGGGGATAAAGATAAAAGATACAAAACAAGAAATAAAAGAGGAAAAGGGAAAATCGAAAGAAAAAAGAAAAAGATATATGCAACTTTCGCTACATAACTATCAGATAGTCACAATTATAAGCCTGTGTCAGGCTTTTAAAAATTATAAACTATATTAAATAGAAATAACTCTACTATTTTTCTATCTACTAGAATATTTAACAAAAAC